CCGGGGGGCAGCGCCCGGCCCCCCCAGCCCGCACCCCCGCGGGGCCGGCGGCGCTCACCTTCACCTGGTCGCCGTCGGACCAGTCGGACCAGTAGCTGAGGTCGTCGGTGGCGCCCATCTCCTGGGCCAGCGCCTGCGCCGAGGCCAGGAGGAGCAGGGCGAAAGCCAGCGGGAGTCTCATCGCCGCCTCGACGTCCTGCGGGGGCGGAGGGTGAAGCACCCGCGCCCGGGGGCGGGCAGGCACGCAGCCCTGCACACACACACCCCGCTGCACGCCTGGCGGCACGCTCCCTCGCACGTACAGACAGACGTGCACCTCGTTACACACCCACCGGCTGCTACGTACACCTCTGGATATACACACGCCCCACACGTATAGAGGTTTGCAGGTAGATGTACACACAGATAGACGTGCCCATCCAGAGGCACCCCTCCACACACATACATAGAGGTATACATACTCACACCCTCACGTGTAGATATACATCTACGCCTTCACACGTACACACACCCATCCAGACACTCACACACACACCCACCCAAGTACATACACATCTAGTTATAAACTCACAGCCCCCGACACAAACAGCTACACGCCTTAGAAGCACGCACCTACGCAGAGATACAGCTCTCCACACACAAGAGACACGCGTGTCTAGAGGTACACACACATCCCTTCGCACATCCAGATACACGCATTGGGACAGGCACAAACACATCCTTGCACATACAGAGAAACACACGTGTGGACACACAAGCATGTATAGGCACCCCCTCATAGATGCACACACATAGACCCCCCCCGCACAGGCATATAGGCAGACACAGAGAAGCACACACGCACACACCCTCGCAAACACGTAGACAAGCGCATCCTCACGCATATAGATAGGTACACACGCACGGACGGACAGACACGGTCCCGGAGGCACACGCACCGTCTGCAGCGGGGAGGGCAGGCGCTGCTCTCCGTGCGCATTGGCCGTGCGCGGGAGCGCTCCCCACTTTATATACCTGGAGACGGGGAGGGCCGAGGCAGCCTCATTTGCCTAAATGCAATTACCCTCGGTTTTA